TCCAGAAGCCACACCAATCGACTTAAGATGAAACGAAGTGCTGTATGGAAGATGACGACTTATAAATCTTCACTTTTTTTGGTGTCTTGTAGGCCTGCTTCCGAAGTTCTCTCTGTTGCATCAAGCTATCTCTTTGTTTGGGCTAGGTACGGAACTTACAAGTCGGAAGCACGAGAAAACTGCCATTTGATCCAATCAATTGGAGCTGATCAAGGATGAAGATCGGGAATATTGGAACCTCTTGGCCAGCAGGGCTTACTGCAGCCCTATGAAACGGACCCGTAGGACCATCCCAGGACTGGTGCTACCCTCCACTGGTGCCGCTTGACACCCTTGATGGAACTACATGCGCTTATATGCAAGAGTGAGGGTACTCGTAGGGGTAGTGATCTTGTTGGAGGTGTGATGGTCCCACAGATGTGTATAGACAGTAGCAGTGTGATGCATCGAAGCCTGTTCGATACCCTGACTAGGGCTGTGTTGCCCGAGCGGTTCCATCGCCTCATTCTCGCAGGTCTTGATCTACACAGAGATCCCATGGACTTTAGTGAATGGTATTGGAGACGAAACTCCTCTCAATCCGCTTGAAAATGCCGTAGAGTGCATGCCGGTAGATCGTAGGTGCACATGCAAGTCCATATTCTCAACGTCGGAACAAAGGAAGACCAAGCACCCCTTGCGTAATGTCATCGGAAGAGTTTCTCATGATGGAAGATGTGGTATCAATGTATGTATATTGCACCAATCAGCTGCAGAGGCCTTGCGTCGGTGCATACAGATCTCAGGCAAACACTTATCGCAATGCAGCGACACGGCCAGGACAAGACTTAAGAACTAACTGAAGTCAACACGACTGACTGAGACACAGCAACTCATATTCCAACTCAATATTCCGCCGTGTCGCACTTTCAAGCGCGTTGTCTCATCTCTTGGTGATTTGTCTAGCGATCATTGTGTGACACTCTGTGATGGTTGCCAAAACGTACAGTGTTTGGCTATGGGCTTGCAAGCAAATACAACAGGCTGGCTATGCTCTCCAATTAGTGAATGGTATACGAAACGAGTGATTCGCTACGCATGCAACAGATAGTTGATGAACAAGTCCGAGTTGATCGTGAAGTGATGGGTATGCTAGGGGTCATGTTATTGATTGCGACCGCTTCCTCCAACTAAAAACCCTTGGTGAGATGGCCGAGTTGGTTATGGCGCCAGGTTAAGGTTAACCTTAACACCAATTTCCTGGTGGAGCAATCCTCCTGGGTTCGAGTCCCAGTCTCATCAGTTTCTTTTGCTGTTTGCAGTAAATCGTTTTCTTTTTGCCAGTCAAGTGAAGCGACTGATTCAGGTTGCGATGTTGGCGGCATGAGCAAACCTTATCGCCTGGGCGCTTACCCGAGCCGAGCCGAGGAAGGGAACTCAGCGACAACTACAGGGCTCTTAGTGCCCGTAGACCACTGAAGGCCCTGTAACTTACGCGCAACAGTTGAGTCGCTCATTGTTTTTTACGACACCATCAGGATCATTAACTTTTACCGCATCTCGAATAGCTGGAGACAGTTATTTGTCCGATATCAGTAGTCACATACGCATTTGAACCAAACTTGTCAAGTCAATCATGTTTGTTTGAAGAAACAGACTCTTTTTAGAGTCATCAAGATGGTCTATCTGAGAAGCTGTCCTGAGACAATGGTTTAAAGTTTGTACATAGTAATGAGATCTTGATCAATTCTGCCTTCGTGGCATTTCCACTTTTGTTTCAATGCCATCCCTACAGGCGACGGTGGTGGCGGCGCTGTCGCATAGACCTCTTGCACTTGGAAGGCCTCTTGGTAGCGACGGGAGTGCTGACGGGAGTAGTAGCAACGGGGACAGTGCCGTTGCTGGGAACAACAGGGCTGGAAGCGCCGTTTCCGCCACCGAGGATCTTAGAAGCAGCGTGCTCAGCAGCAACCATGATGATGGCCTGGGTGTTGCCGGTAGGAAGATCAGGGTGGATGGAACCGTCGACGACGAACAGGTTCTCGGTACCCCAGACCTTGGTGTCAGTATCGACCACGCTGGTACCATCGTTCTCAGTACCCATGATGGCAGAGCCGACAAAATGAGAACCGCTGACGTACTCAGCCATGAGGCTCTCGGCGGTAGCGTTGCTGGCGACGCTGAGGGTGCTGTTGGGCTTGGAGGCAAAGCTGATGAGCTTGTTCATGAAGCTCTTGACAGCCTCCTTGTCCCCTGCAGTCTTGAGGTAAGGCTCGCCGACAAGCTTGGTAGCACCAGAGCTGGTGACGGTAAGAGAACCGCTGGAGGTAGCACCGTGGGTGAGGTAGACCTTGACCTTGACAGCGTCGTCACCAGCAGCGGCGCAAGTACCCTGGACGTATCGCTCAACACCATCGGAGCCCTTGACAGTGTCCCAGAAGATGAAGCGCTGACCAGACTGAGCAAGAAGACCGTCTCCCTGGGCGAAAAGATCAATGTTGGTCTGGCTAGGCTTGGTGAAGTCGGTCTCGGTGAGAGCTGACATGGGCTGCTTGGTCTTCATCTTGACGGTGAAGATAGGGTGGTCCTTGAGGTTCTCTCCGACAGGGAGATCAAGCCACTGATCCTTGGCGGGCATCGTGAGGCGCTGGCTTCCGCTAGCAACGGCTTCAATCTGCTCAGAAGGGCCAATACCAGAGTTAACGAGAAGGCGGGGAGTGGCGAGAGAGCCGGCGGCAAGGACGACGGCACCGTTGGCCTTGAGGTTGATGATCTGGCGGGTAGAAGGACCGGACTGGACCTCGATACCGGTGACAGCCTTACCCTCGCGGACAACGCGGAGGACCTTGGTGTTGAGCTGAAGCTTGAAGTTGTTGTTGGCCTGAGCAAGAGGGAGGTAGTCACGGACGGGACCGGCGCGGAGACCGTCGTTGACCATCAGAGGAGGGTGAGTGAAGACTGACTTCTTCTTGCTAGGCTCCTCAATGGCATCAACCTCGGTGAAGCCGTTACTAGAGAAGAACTTGGAGAGGACGTTCCAAGCGCCCTGGTCAACTCGCTTACCGTCCTTGGTAGGACTAGTGGTACCGGGAGTGCGCTCGTAGAGCTTGTTGGCGGAGCTCTCAACATCCTGCCACTTCCAGCCAGCAGGCCACTTGTCGTCAAAGTCGGCAGGCTGGGGGCGGACAAACATCATAGCGTTGATGACACTTGAGCCACCGAGAATGCAACCAGCCATGCTGGCAGTGTCAGTGCAGTAGGCAGAGGTGTCCTTGGCGGTAGTGAGGTAGTAGGCCATGGAAGGAACATCGTACTGAGTGACGGTGTCGTTCCAGTCCATGGTAGAGCGGCCACCAGACTCGTAGAAAGAGGCCTTGCCCTGCTCAAGAAGAAGAACAGACTTCTTGGACTCAACGAGACGCTCGGCGACAATGAGACCGGCAGTACCACCACCGACAACGATGTAGTCGTAGGTAGCGTTAGAGACGATGGTGGTGAAGTTGCCAGGGTTGGAACCAGTGCTGCCTCCAGGGCTGGTAACAGGAGTAGTGGCATCGGAAGCAAGCTTGGCCCAGGTCTCAAAGTCGGCAGACTGAGCAGCGGTAGTGTCAAGAGAGTAACCGCCGAAGCCAGCGCCGTGGTAGTTGAGAGCACCAGCAGCGTCGGTGGGGTCGTCAAGAGCAGTGGTGCTCATAGCAAAGCTGAGAACAGCGTTGGTATCGGCAGCCTTGAAAGTGGTTCCATCGGTCTTGATGCAGCCCTCGCAAAGGAAAGTGAAGGTGAAAGAGTCAGTACCGACCTTGGTACCCTTCTCGATGGGCTTGATAGAGACGGTGTCGTCGTCGAGAACGGCAGGGTTGGTGTATCCATCAGCCTGGCGAACTGAGGTAATGACCTTGCCATCGTTGGGCCAAGCAACAACGAGAAGCTTCTTGGTCATGGTAGATCCCATACCAACGGATCCATAACCCTCGGAGATGGGAACGGTCATCTGACCGATGAAGTCGGTGCTGGGGTTCTTGGGCAGAGCAATACCGAAGGAGAACTTGCTGCTCTTGTCGGTATACTGCTGGAAGGTAATTCCCGTATCGGCATCCTTGTACTCGACTGATTCGGCCGAGATGGCCTGGTACATCAGCGCCGCTGACGAAAGGAGTGTTGAGAAACGCATGTCGGCGGTGTTTCAGTAGTGAAGACTATATGTATCAAAGGATCGTCGGGAAAGAATGTACGAATCGTAAAGTAAAAGCTACAAACGAAGAAACGAATGGACAATGTTGGCAGCCAGTGCCTGTAAAGAACGAAAATAATACGAAAAAGAAAGATAGACCAAACAAGATGGTATGATCAAGGCCATATCCAAGGTGAGATGTCGGCCCATTATATATAAATCCCCCATCAAGTGCCGGCGCCGGGTATGGAAATTCGCTTCCGAGTGCTCGGGACAGGTTTTGCAAACAAGAGAGACGACATTGGTGGCTTAATTGTTGCACGGGCAATATTCGCTTTCATTGTGGATGAGGGTAGCTAGGTCTTGCATTCGCCGAGTGTGGAGTTCGGCGAAGCCAGCATCAGGTGAGGTTATGCTGCGCTGTTTGAGATATCCCAAGACGTCGAGTTGTAATGCTTCTTGTCCTTTCTCTTATTGGCTGTGGATCTGGTTTCAGGTCGCGGGACAGATCCCCTAACAAGGCAACAGGGCCACGGTGGGCCCGAGTCTATATATTTGAAACGGCCTTTATCGTCCAAGCTTGTGAGAAACCGTTTCATTTCAGTATTTTTTAGCCTTAAATTTTGTTTAATTTAGCTAGGATAGACGCGTCAATTGGTGCAGCTGAATATAATCTGCATGGGTAGAGTGTAGATGACTCGCAACGAAACGGGTAGCGAAACGACTCTGCCTCATTTAGACAACAACAGATAACACTATGCAAGGGTTTAAATCTCCACCTGTCAAACCTTACAATTCTTCCACTGCCCACTTCCCGTTCTCTTAAACTCTTATCCAGACCATTCATTCATCACCTTATGTCTTGGGTTCGCTCTTCACCAGCTGCAATCCATTCCCTGGCCTTGGCCTCATCTCGCGGCTTGAAACCGACCTTGAAAGGCTTGGGGTCCGTTGTCAGCGAAGTTGGGTTGGCGTTGCACTCGATGCAATCCATGACGGGGAAGTCCTTCTTGTCCTTGGGAGGGAGAATCTCGAAAGCGGTGATGAGGCGGATGAAAGCTGTGTAGAGCTCGCGGTTTGCAAGGTGAGAGCCCGCGCACATTCGTGATCCAGCACCATAGGCGTAGTGAGGCGTTCCAATCTCCTTGTCGTCGATATATCGCTCAGGGTTAAACTCATAAGGATTCGCGAATCGTGATTCATCATAGTCTGCGGCGTAGGCGTTCTAAATCTCCGATTAGCTGTATGTTCCAGCGCCATATACACAGGGCTGTCTCACCATGAAAAACTTGGTTCCTGCAGGGATCACGGCACCCTGGTAGGGGATATCCTTGATGCTTTCCCGAGGCAGGCAGATAGGAATGACTGTCCAAAATCGCAAGATCTCCTTGACGAGGGCTGTGACATAGGGAACCTTCTCTTCCACGAGGCATCGTTCCCAGGCTTCACCGTTGGGGTAGACTTTGTAGATCTCCTTGAGGGCCTTGGCTTGAATCTTCTGACCTTGCTCGGTTGCGAGGTATGCGATGCCCATGATCACGTTACCTGGAACTGTGTCCAGACCAGCAGAAACCATAGTGAGGCAGATAGACTTGATCTCGGCTGTTGATTTATTAGCGAAATTGTTTTACGGGGCGCATCTTACTCACCATCGTTCAGCTTGGCGGTAGGGTCCTTCAGAATGTTTCCAGTGATGCAAGGCTTATCTGTACCGTTGTCGATTCTGCTCTTGAGATTGGCCAGGAGATCAGACAGATACTTGTCACGGCGCACTCTGAATTCCTCAGCCGATGAGTTTTGAGCTCCCCAAAGTCGAAGCAGCGGAACATAATCCTGCCAGTTGTTGCTAGTAGATCTGAAATTGGAAATCTCGCGCTCAACGTAGGTGATTTCGTGGAGAAGCTCAGAGTTGACGTCGCCATCGATGCGGAAGCCGTAGTTCAAAGTCAAAGAAGTGTTGAGCGCAAATCGGGCAAAGTAGGGCGATGGATCAAGGTCCTTGCTTCCGTCCTTGCAATCGTCAAGAAGTTCCTTGATGCTGACGAGAGACTCGAGGTCGAGAATTGGCATGTAAGATTGAACAGCAGGGCGGTTGAGGGCAGTGGCAGCGGCCTTGCGGCGGTTCTTGCAGGACTCATCCCACGGCGAAGTGCCGATGGTGAAGCCTTGGGATGAAGAAACCACTGAGTGGAATGTGTGAAACATGGGGCGGGAGATGAGTGCAGACTGGTGGGTGATCCAGAAATGCTTCACGGCTTCATAAGAGTTGACATAGATGACTCGCTGCGATGGTCAGAATTGAATATGAGAAACGACATAGATTCTCACCTTGGTTCCCAGACGTGTCTGAAAGACAGGTCCGTACTTCTTGGCCCATTTCTGTGCAACTCTGGCATGGTCCGTCCCCAACTGAATCAAGTTTCCAAAAAGCGGTACACCAGGAATCTCGGGGATGCCCTTGATCTTTGGCTGATCAGTCGAATTGGCCAACTTGTACAGCACGTACAGGCCGATGAGAATAGCGAGGTAGATAACTTGATCAGACATGGTTGCTCATAAAGATCAAGTCCAAGCGGGGAAAAGATGACTCTCTGTGTTGCAATGACATGGTAACGTGCAGTCCCGTCTGTAGGCTTTTTATACGCAAGACGAGCAACGTGACATGTTTCCCCTCAGCTGCACTGCTCGGGATCTGCAAAGAAACCCCAAGTCTTGATAACCGAATAAGCGGGGGAGCCGTATGCCGAATCCCATCACGGCCTTTGTTAAGCAGGCCTCAATTGGGCTGCCTCGAGTCGCACGCGGGAAGTTTGGGTTTGGCTTGATACTTATTGTCGGCTATTCATTCATCGGGCCAAACCTGAAGAGGGAATTAGAGGAGAAAAGGACTCGATTCTTCGGAAATACTGCTCAATTGCTTGGTATAATTCGGAAATATTTCCGAGCCATCTCGAGAATCTCACAACATCCACTAGCGCCCTCATGATGCGTCACCAGTGCATGATTTGACTGACCCCTCCATGGGGCTCCACATTTTCATTGTCGGAAAATCTTCCGAGATAATAACATGTCTTGTCGCCTATTGTCACAACAATGCCCTTTAACAATTGAACAACTGTTCTGACGAATCAAGACTCATGGAATCGCCATTGAATTGACTTTTGCAACATGTCATCAGCCTATCAAATACCCGAGACAGCGTCGCAACCAAAGTATTCACAACCTTAGCTTGTAGGCGCAGGGTTTAACGGTTGAATAATGCAACACGATTTTCTAACAAACGAAAAGGGCAGAAACAAACATATGAACTGCCTCCGTATTTGAAGAAAGAAAACCCCCTTCTATGAGTTTGACTAAATGCGATTTTGGCTCGCGCAGCCTACGTGGTTGAGCTCTGCGAAGGCAACCGTATGGCGGATTATAAGAGCCGAATGCACTCGGAGGTTAGGATATATCAAGTGGCTAGACCCGGTTTATCGAAACAACAACGGTGTTCTTGACCAATGGCGAACCAAAGGAAGGAATATTGAAACGCCTTCTTCGCGAGAACACACAGTTGTTCGTACCATGTATCTCGGATGTCAGTTGAGTAGCTCTTCACTTCACTGACTTGCAGGGGGCTATGATCCATGTCCCGGGTCATAAATCTCAGCAAGACCGACGTAGGTCGGGAACTGAGCTGAACGAGTATCTATAAAAGTGAGTTCGGTATGGATCAACATGAATTGCAACAACAATCACTCATCCATTTATTACAACCCCCATCTTGCAAACAGCCACTATGTCCGTCGCCTTCGACCTCGCAAAGCCCAACAGGACCATTCACATTGGTGTTATTCTGATGAACAGGTGAGTGAGCAGAATCAATTCCCTTGATGCACCCCGGCTCACATATTTCCAGCGAGACCGAAATTCTCGACGTCGCTCCCATTGACTTTTTGTACGGCCTCTCCAAGAAAGCATGGAAGAGCAGCTTTGAAAGCGTTGCGCCTGCCAAGCTCGAATCGGAGACAATGGATATGGAATTTCATTGGGTTCACGAGAAGGGGACCGGTTCTCCCTGTATCTTGACAAGCGGTATCAAGCTTGTGGCTACGGTATATTCACTTGGCGATTGAACCTCATGTCGTTGTGCTGATACGGAAAGGATTCTTTCGATACTTGCCCTCCGCTGGATATCGTTCTCATGGGCGCGAACTCTGCTCAATACACACCCAATGAAGCTGAGCTCGCTTTTGTTCGCAAAGCCTACGACGAATGCTCTGCTTTCCTCTCCATCTGTGGAGGTGTCCTCGTTCCTCTGCAAGCCGGTATTTTGAACGGTAAAACGGCAACTGGCCCGATTATCATGCTCGACACTGTCCGGAAACAAGCTCCAGAGGTCAACTGGGTTACCAAGCGCTGGGTCAGAGACGGAAAACTGTGGACAAGCGGTGCGTTGCTCAATGGTACGGATATGATGACGAATTTCATGAAGCATTACTGGGGCGGTGAAGGTGGTTTCGTCGACTTTTTAAGCAAGCTTGGTGCTTGGCCTGATCGCGATGTTGATTATAAGGATGCTGATTTCACGGGGCTTCTGTGATGTGCACTTACGTGCATGTTTCGGGTGGTCGATGTGAATGGTGGAGAGTAGTGAAGCGGTTGAACATTTTGGACGTCGGAATAGTTCTGAAATACAGTCTCTGCCATTTTGCTTGGAATAAATTAGTACCTCAAACGGCCAATGATTGTTTAGTCAGATGCTGTAAATATTGCGCCATCTTCAGGCAATTCTCACATCATCAGGTGCTGCGCCAGCTCTGTCGAACATCATGCTCTAGGGTACCTACCGAGCGTGCGTATCGCGAGTACACGCTCACTAGCCCAGGCCAGCGCGTTTTTTGCACCCTGATAGATAGTGGCGAAGTGTTTGCAGATTAGCGCTGGACCCTTTGTGCCCCTCCAAGCCCCTCCATCACTAGCCACATCGGTGAGGGCTCCAGGACCCTTCGTCTCAGTGGCAGAATGTGATTGGCTGTTGGCTGCACAGCTCCGTCGATCTTGGGTCACTCAAGGGAGAGAGGTCCCCACTGAAATCTCTGTTGCTTCGATCCAAGAGTTAAGATCTGTTAGCATTCTAACAGCAGAGCTAAAAGCGACGTGGTTTGAGCAGGTCATACACGATTTGGCCTGGGCGCAAAGACGCGCTTCTACGTAGCAGAAATTAAATAATCATCGTGTCCCAAAGAAAACAATTAATCAAGGAAACTAGATAATCAGCTAAGCCTGATCGATGATAGGGAGGCTGAGACACTACGTCATGATAATAGGCAGCTGTTTTTGGAGCGCGAGCTCAAGCTCCTACTGCTGCATTAGTCTACCCCAGTCACGTGGGCGGCTGGAAAAGAAAGAGGGGAAACTTGTGGCTTGAGGGCTATATAACGCACCGCGCCGTCTGACAATTGCATATTCCTTCAAATCGTCACTATTTTCGCGTCGAAATCACTAGTCCCTCACCATGTCCAAACTCTTTGTCGGGTAAGTCGCGAGTATTGATTACGATGATTTCCAGCTGATTTGACGTCTCCAGCGGCCTCGCCTGGGCCACAACCAGCGACTCTCTCCGCGCCAAGTTCAGCGAATTTGGTGAGGTCACTGACGCCGTAAGTACTCCCTCGCGCGCGCGCCTCGAGTTTCGAGATGCTGACTGTATTGTTTTTAGATTGTCATGACCGACCGTGAGACTGGCCGATCAAGGGGATTCGGATTCGTCACCTTCAGCGCCCAAGAGGAAGCTTCCGCCGCCATCAACGCGATGAACGAGCAGGAGTGAGTCACACACAACGACACCGCATAAGCACAGAAATGATTCTAATACAACGATTCCAGGTTCGAGGGTCGCCAGATCCGCGTCAGCGAGGCCAACCAGGGTGGTGGTGGCCGCGGTGGTGGCCGTGGTGGTTACGGTGGCGGCGGCGGCTACGGCCGTGGCAGCGGTGGTGGTGGATGGAGAGATTAAGTCCCTGCATTTTCTTGATTGAGGACGGCATGAGTTTTATGATTCCCTCTCGGTTGGCACGATGGACACGGGAGAACGCACAAGTCTGACGACTGCTGCAAAGCATTGCAGCGGATATGGGTTTCGCGAAGAAAACAATTCATAGCAATACACTCGGATCACACCATTAAACAATCCTCCATTGTCTCTTGCGTACATGTAGTCTTTGACTTTGATGTAGTGGCGAATCAAGCTGCGTGGTTCGCGTTGGAGCCGCAACGGTAAGGTACGTTGGATCCATAAGAGACATAGTACCAGAGCTACAAGATACTATAACGCATATAGACTTCATACTATAAGGTACTTAGTCAACGACTCGACACTCAAGCTTGAACATCTTTACTGTCCGAGTCGGCATCCAATGCTCCGAAGGGCCGGGAGAATCTCAGGACTTCGAAGAAATATCACATTGATAATCATACTCCAGACCACCCAAGTCATTGATCTATACTTCTTGCTTTCCGTTCGGGTTCTGTTCAAGCTTACGAATGATCTTGGCAGGGTTTCCAGCAACTACATGGTAAGGCGGTACGTCCTGGGGAAATGTCAGATACTGTAACACAAAAAACCAAGTGCAACAAACCTTGGTGACAACACTTCCTGCACCAACCGTGGAACCAGCACCGATTGTGATACCCGGGAGAATGGTCACGTTGCCCGCGATCCAGCAATCCTCACCCACGGTGATTGTACCACCAAGTTCTGGTCCATTTGTGCCATTACGCAGCTCAGGATCCAGAGGATGCGTACCGGAGAAGAAAGAAACGTTTGGTCCGATCAGCGTCCTTGAGCCGATGGTTACTTGGCACGTATCAAGTATTGTGCAGTTGAAGTTGATAAAAACATTGCTTCCTACTTTGATATTCGTGCCATAGTCGATCCTGATGGGAGCTTCGATCCAGGGATATTCGTGCAACACGTTGTCCTCCTCATCTTCCGTTGCTGCAGGAGGAGGTAAAGGGCGGTCGTCGTTTGTTATCCTGAGCTTATGTGAGTAATGATGGGTGAGCCTTTTATGAGGGTTTGGCTTACTGTCTCCAGAATTCGGCCATCTCGCGGCGTGTCGGGTCTTCGGCTGCGTTGAGTCGAGTGACAGCTTGCCTGCATCGCTTACGGGCAGCTACTAAATCGGGTGTGAAAGCGTAGTACAGATCGCCGCGGCGCATGCGGTTGAGGTTGTCCTCCTCGTCGATGTTAAAGACGGTCATTGTAGGACAGGGTGTTTTCCAAGATTTAAGATTATATCTTGACAAGAGGTGATGTAGCGAATGAAATACAGGAATGTAATAGGCTGACAGTCTTTGCTTCTATGTCAGGTTGTTTTTAGGGATAATGGTTGTACAAGCTTTGAATCTCCCATCGATTGAAGACGGGATTGACGAGAGTTAATCGGTGATGAGTGCCGTCGGAATTTCAATGATCCATTCCTAAAATAACCCAGAGTCTGATCGTTCTGCCTTTTGACCCTCTTCCTTCTGGATGGGACACGCTAAGACACTGTCGTGATAGTGGGGCGGCCTTTTTGAGACAAACTCAAGCTGCAACAACGTTTCTGTCAAACATTTAACGATGATCTGAATGGCCCAATCCTTGCGAAATCGGCGACGACATCGACGTCTCATTGTTTCGAATTGTTTCAATACCTCTGACTCCTTTCCGCATTGTTTCATGCCCAAAAAACAGTCGAACCCTAAGCTCTGATAGAGCTTAGGGTTCGATTCCCTGCACATGAGGTTCTTTTTCTTGGATTTTGAAATCTTTCTTCATAGATTAAAGAACATTGTTTCAATTTCATTAATATTACCATACCAAAGCCGATGCTAAATACGCTCAAAAAGTGTGCCAAGGGCTGATCCCGATAGTCCGGTCCAAAGAGAAAAATCATCCTAGTTCGCACCAACAATCAACTCACCGAATTCCTGCTCCTCCCTTAACTGCAAAGCCTCTTGGTACACTCTCAGCTCTTCTTTCTCTTCGCTACTCAAAAGACTTGTCCAAGTGAAAACTTGGTCCTGACACCAGACGTGAAATCTCCTCGGTCTCTTATTCTGGGGGTCATCAAGCATTTCCATCGTCACTAATCGTTCATCATCCCAGATGCCAAAGCCCAAACTCCTGAATGGCCGGAATAGCAAACCTTCACTCAATCTGGGAGTACCTCTGGGGCACAGTAGTGGCCCAGCCCATCTCAAACCCTTACACCCGACTAGAACTTTGTGGCAGTGATATGTAAAAGCATCATTTGGGTCAACACAAGAAAACGGGGGTGCCTTCAGAATAACAGCGGGCCATGTGAAGCTTGCACTTTTCTTTGGATGGGGGAGTTGCAGGTGGCTTCCCTCCACTGGTTTGAAACCTGTGTTGAAGAAAACGCTCAAACCCTTATTCACAACATCAGTATCACCAACACAAGAACTTTCATCTGAGCAACCTTCCAAATGTCGGACGTAAAGCAGAGCGGCCCATAACGGTTCTCGGGCGATCCATAGGCTTGACTTCCTAAGTCCTGACAGGCACGTCTCGCCGGATCCCATGTCACGGATTGCCTCAATATCAGAAGCTGACCAGTTCAGTCGCTTTTCAGAAGCAGCGTTACTGAGCTCATAGCACAACTGGAGACACCAAAAGCCGAGGGTAATTCTCTGCATTTCATACCAGGACGCCTCACCGCCCGTGTTGAGCTTGTATGGCTGTCCCCATAATTGGCCATCAGGCCGTCGATTCCAAGGAAGCGTGCCAAGATGGTAGCACTTGTCAGTCAGGTGCTGCGGTTTGGTCGCCTTGATTCTCTCGTGAAAGAAGTCAAATGCCTCTCCTGCCAGCAGCTTGATCTTCCGAAAGAGGAACAGCATTTCTCTCGGCGTAATGGAATTGTGATCTCGCATCACATGTGCAAGACGAATGCGTGGGATACAAGATGGCGGACTCGATTGAATATCTGGAACGCGGTCTCCTTGGGCATTCTGAAACGAGGTCGGCATAATGAACTTTGTGATGAAAGTGGTGAGGTTCCTTGCTGGTGGGCTTGTCGCGGAAGAATGCCTGATGAGGGCTACCAGGCGCAGGACGTGCGGGATCCATGGCGTTGTCGCAAGATTCTGAGCTGATGCGTCGAGAACGTTATCAAGAACCTCGGCTCCCAACGTCCCGTTCAGGAAGTGAAAGATATGCGGCGATGCCTTGGCGACGCTGTATAAGCTTCTGACGTCGGGTAAATTGCTGAGTATCGGCGCGATAAGCTCCGGCGGTAAAGTCGCAAAGACGTCCATGTTGACTAGCCCTTGATTGAATGGAGAGTTGAACGGAATTGAGGTCGCGATGCTTCATTTATGAAATTACCCCTCAGATTAGTATTGTCAGCATCATCGAGCCTCTCACGTGGCTGGCTGAATTGACTTAAAAGAGCTTATCCGTTGATGCCGGCGTTGACGTGGCTAACCGTGGTCACACGCTAAGACCCCAAATCTGGCAAACGATATCAGGAGCGAATAAGATAGCATCGCCATTGAGGGGTCGCATTGAAATGACGTTTTGTTCAAACACCG